TTTTGTAGCTTCAATTGCACTAAGTATTATATAGTTTATTAGCATCACAAATCACAAGTGTCTGCCAGTTCTATGTGATTAAACCAAATTTTGGCCACCACCTGCCAGCACATCATAATTTTGAAGAACTTTATTTTTACACGGTACAAGCACTGTTACACTGCCACAATGTCTGAAAACACCGAGCTCATAAATGTACATTTGACGGTACGGGACAGGCTCTTAGAGAAACTAAGTGAGGTGGAGAATCAGATACAGGCTGCTGGCTCTGCAAAGGACACCGTAGCCAAGATTGCTGATGAGTTCCGCACATTCCGGGTGCTCGTCCTTAGTATACTAAAGATGCTGCAGAAACAGGTCTCGGAGAGCTTGCGGAATGGAGATGAGTCCGAGATGAGGCGCCGTCGGAAAGTCATTGTGTTTCAAGGCATACCAGAGGTGGAGAAGGAGGACTGCAAGAGGGTTGCCTTGGATGTCATCAATTCTAAGCTGGGCCTTGGACTTTCAGCTTCTTCTATAAAGGTATGCCACAGACTTGGGGTTCGTAATAAAGACCATCATAGGCCTATTTTGGTGCGGTTCACCAGTGTCGACACTAAGGCTTCAGTGTGGCGGGCTAAGACTGGTCTGCGGGGCTCGAAGATATCCATGAGGGAGTTCCTGACAAAGACCAGACAGGCGATATTTGCTAAGGCGCGCCAGCATTTTGGGATGCGTGCCTGCTGGACCCAAGATGGCAACATCTTCCTGAAGTCGTCTGATGGAAGAAAGCACAGGGTAACATGCTTGGAAGATCTGAGTCCACTCCTCGCCAAGTATCCCAAGGCGGCGGGTCAGTCGAGTGTCGCACAGCCTGCAGCCGGGCGCGGTGGGGATGCGAATGATGGGAACCTGGAAGACGCACACGAATAAGGTTTCTCACTCCTACTCAATGCTATCATAATTAATATGTAATGTTCTTTCTATCCTGTGTTCAACTTACCATATTTTTTACATATGTTTTATTATTTAATCTTGTGGATATCAGTTAGCCTCCTCTACCCACAACTCTCGTAATTATTTGTTCTTTTGTTTCGTTTTAATGACTTTTAATTTTATTACTTCTATTAATTTACTATAAAATAATGTGGGTTGTTGTATTAATTGTATTTTGACTTTTGAGCTGTCAATATTAATCTGAACAAATCTATCCTGTCACTGTCACTCTGTCCGCTGTCAACTCGACAGTGAACGGCTGCGTTCAGAAACAAAATTTTTTTTTTTCTTGTCATTATTATTTTTATTTTCTTTTAACCATAGATTACGTTTTAATGTTTGATTTTTTTATACATGTACTTTGTTTTGTTTTCATGTACCCTGAATTTTGTTTTGTTTTGATGTTGGCTGGCGGGTGGTGCAGAGCTGCACGTGAGTAGTAACTGGCATCTGCTGTGGTTTTTATCATAAAATTTACATACATAATTATTATATTTATATATTTTTGTAATTTATTATTTTATATATATTTATAACATGTCTGATATTATTTCTTTTGCGTCTGCGTCTGATGATGGTTCCTCTAGTTGTAGTTTTTGCTCTTTTGGTGACACTCTGGGTGACTTCCTTCAAAACCAGTTTTCTGCCAAGAATAACCGTCTGTTAAATGTTTGTCATATTAATGCTCAGAGTGTTCCCAGTCACTACAGCGACCTCTACGAAGCGTTTAATAATAGCAATGTGCATGCCGTCCTGATATCCGAAACCTGGCTCAAACCTCATCTCTTATCTACCACCTACCCCTTAGCCGGATATGTGCTCATCCGGAATGACCGCATTAACGGTAGAGGGGGGGGCGTGGCCATTTACCTTCGTGGTGAATTAGCTTACAGAATTATTTCATCATCTCCCCAAAACTGTCCTGCAGAGTACTTGCTACTTGAGGTTTGTGTCCAGGGGGTGAAAATCGTTATTGGTGTATTTTACTGTCCGCCCTCAGTCGACTATTTCACTGAATTCGAATCAGTACTAGAATCTCTGGGTTCGGAGTATGCACATCACGTAATCATGGGTGATTTCAACACCAATCTCCTTGTCCACAACTCCTTTCGTTCCTGTAGGCTTCGGCATCTGATCGAGTCAGCCTGTCTTCATCTACTACCTCTCCAACCCACTCATCACAACACTGTCGGTGAGGACTCATGGCTCGATCTGATAGTCACGTCCAATCCCTCACTAGTTTCTTCTCATGGTCAACATGAGGCTCCCGGATTCTCTCACCATGACCTGATCTTCCTGTCCTATATCCTGAGGCCACCCAGGGTGAGGCCTAGGGTTCTGTTCAGGCGTTGTTTTGCACGGATGGATAGTGAAAAACTTAGAGAGGATGCATCGAGTATTGATTGGGGGCCTCTGATGGAGGCTGCAGATGTCGATACCATGGTCGCTGTTTTTAACAAAACTTTGACTGAGCTCTATGACCGCCATGCTCCCGTGAAGAAAATTAAATTAAAACGGCCTCCCGCACCTTGGATGACCAGATACATACAGATGGCAATGCGACGCAGAGACCGCGCGTTCCGTAAGCACAAAAATGATCGCACTGTTGAGAACTGGGCGGCCTATAAAAACGCTCGAAATAGGTGTAACCAGATGGTACGTAACGCTAAACGCCGACATATTCTAGATAACATCTCTTCTTCATCTCCTGCCGATATCTGGAAATTCCTCGGGACTCTAGGTATCGGCAAATCACAACACACTGACCTCCCAAATTCTGTTGGTTTAAATGATCTAAACCGACATTTCTCCACTGTGTCTAAATTGGATCCTCTTGCTAAACAGCAAACTTTATCTTTTATTTCTGCTCTGATGCGTTCGTCTTCTTTAACTTCTTTCAGATTCACACCGGTGCAGCCTGAAGAGATCCGAAAGATCATCCTCTCCATTAAATCCAGGGCGGTGGGTTGTGACGGTATATCGCGGTATATGGTCACAACCATACTCGATCTTCTCCTCCCAACCATAACTCACATGGTTAACTATTCCCTTTACTCCAAAGTCTTCCCATCCTTGTGGCGTAAAGCCTATGTCCGTCCTCTTCCTAAGATAACCAATCCTACTCTTCCCACACACTTCCGTCCTATATCAATTCTTCCCTTCTTGTCAAAGGTGCTCGAGGCCTGTGTCCATAAGCAACTTGCTGACTACATATACAGTAACTCGCTTGTAAGTCCATTGCAATCCGGATTCAGGCCCGGGCACAGTACTGTAACCGCTCTCCTTAAAGTGATTGGCGATGTGAAGGCGGGGATGGAGGACACCAGGATCACAGTATTGGTTTTGGTGGACTTTTCGAATGCCTTCAACGTGGTCAATCACGACATTTTGCTAGCTATCCTATCCCATCTTTCGGTCTCTGATGGTGCACTGGATTGGTTTTCATCTTATCTTCAGGAACGTCAGCAATTGGTCCAGGTTGGTGAGGCTTCATCGAACTGGTGCCATTTAGAAGCTGGGGTTCCTCAAGGCGGAATTCTCTCTCCTCTTCTATTCTCCATCTTCATAAACCTTATCACTTCCGAACTTCAGTGTGCGTACCATCTGTATGCCGACGACCTGCAATTGTACTGTCAAGTCAAGATTGAGGACTTACCTGATGCAGTTGCGAAGGTAAACGCGGACTTGACTGCCATATCTAACTGGTCTGGGAAATTTGGCATTAATGTCAACCCGAGCAAGTGTCAGGCGATAATAGTAGGTAGCTCCCGCACTTTGTGCAAGGTTAACAGTGCAACGGTACCGCCAGTCCGGTTTGACGGTGCGGTCATTCCATTTAGTGGTGATGTCAAAAATCTTGGGTTGCACATCGACGGCAACTTAACCTGGCGTGCTCATGTTACTAGTGTCTGTCAGCGAGTCACGGGGACGTTGCGAGCCCTGTATCGGTTAAAAAACTTCCTTCCGTCGTCGACCAAGGCGATGCTTGTTCAGTCCTTGGTTTTTCCCATAATTGATTACGCTGATGTGTGTTACTACGACCTGAATGCAGATCTCCTCAATAAACTTGACCGCCTTCTAAATAACTGCATTCGATTCGTTTTTAACCTGCGTAAATACGACCATGTCTCTGCATATCGGTTGCAACTAAAGTGGTTGCCCATACGTCAACGCAGGAAACAACGGGCGTTAACCACTTTATTCTCTCTTCTTAATTCCCCCACTTCTCCTAGCTATCTATCCTCCTATTTTCAGTTCATAAGCGCAAACCACAGCAAGTATCTTCGTTCCACTAATAATCTTCTTCTACAATGTCCCACACACCGTACCGACTTCCTTCACTCTTCATTCTTTGTCCAATCCATTCTGCTGTGGAATGCGCTGCCCACGGATGTCAGGACGGCAACCAGCCGGCTTAGTTTTAAAGTTAAGGTTCGTGAGCTATTGCAGAGGGAACAGACAGACGCATCACGTACTTAATTTATCATTTTGGCGATTGTATTTAATATATATGTATATAAATATATATTATATGTAGTTTTATTCCCAATTTATTTATTTACTTTTATAGTATTGTTATCTAGTAATATTGATAATGTATCTTATGTAATTTATATTATACCTATATATTATACGGATATATGTATGTATTTACAGTTATGCATAATTATATAGATTTTTCTGTGTCACATAAACCATTACACCTATTACACCTACTGTTGCACATCTCTGCATCACCCCATGGTTGACTGTTAGAGAATGCCACCCGGCATTAAGTCCGCCATCGTATGTTTGTTATACAGAAGTGTTAATAAATAAATAAATAAATAATGGGCCTATGTGGAATGCCCCATACACAGTACCGCGCTTTACGATACGGTCCATGCTCCTTGATACTAATTTTCGTGTATCCAATGAAATATAGTAAAGTAGTTCTACTGTGGGCCTCCTGTAACACTCACACGGCGAAACACACATCAGTATTCCGGTGTTTTCATGGTAGTATCTACTGTAAATCCTGGCTTACAGGAGTTGCAGCGGTTTCAGGAGGTTGTGGCGAGCTTGTCCCATTAAAAAAAGTCAGTATATTTATAGTTAATGGTCTAATTTGAAAATTCTTTTTATGCATTTACAAAAGAAGAAATTGCAGCAAAACTACTATGTACCCAAACTTCAGATTGAAAAACTCTTGAGGTAGACGTCCATCGACCGTGAAGATGTGACAAGCTCTCATCTTGTGGAAGGCTGCACGGTTCAACCGCTGCACGTTCTTGCAGAATCTTTTGATTTCCTCTGCAAAAGAATAGCATAATAAATTATGACACAAATTAATTATTTAATTTTCACTGAAAAGAAGATATTAATCAAGAGTGAAAGAGACCACGATACCACGGCTTTACAGAAACCGACGTAAAGCAATCGAAGCATTGTATTTTGTCGTGTGAGTGAGGTTGCCGAAGGTTAAATCCCCAGTCTCTCCAAACCCCGAATCCTCAATAATCCTAAAAATTCCTAATCCACAAAACGCTGGTAACGCACTTCTCACCTCTGCTGTTTTGGGTGCATTTATCATCTTATTACCAACATAAAAAAATGTAATGTTGTGAAATGCCGAAGGAAATATTTATATTTTTAACTAGGTCGTTTTTATTACATTTCCTGTCTCAAGTACACTGGAAGAAATTCCAACAAGAATAAGTAGCACCTTTGTACTCTTATTTTATAAATGTGTTATCCTCTGTGCTGTGTGTGTACATAAATCATTAAATAAATAGGTTGGATTTATTACTAATTTTCATGCCTTAATCTTATCTTAAAAACTTATTCTAATGAGTTTTATTACTGTTTTTATCAACCACTCCGAAATCGTCACTTATATACCTTTCCCTGAACCAACCTAAAAGTTACTTAGTGTGAGTTAACACCTAAACTAACTCCTTACTTGTATAGGTGTCACTTATAGATTGGTGAAAACTATACTATCGTTAAATGTCTCCCACTTTAAACACCACGTAAGGGTTCCTTAATGGAGAGAGGCCAGTTCCCGCTTCTCTGGAAAGCGGGCAAACTGGTCCTCGTGCGGAAGACGGGGCGCCCTGCGGACTCTCCGTCCGCATACCGGCCCATAGTGCTGCTCGACGAGGTGGGGAAAGTATTCGAAAGAATCATTTCGAACCGCCTCGTCGCGCACCTGACGAACATTGGGCCGGACCTGTCGGACGGCCAATTTGGCTTCCGCAGAGGGCGCTCCACGGTGGACGCCATCATGCGCGTTAGGGACCTCACGACGGGGACTGCAGTGTCCGGGGGTAGAGTCGTGGTGGCGGTGTCTTTGGACATCGCCAACGCCTTCAACTCCCTGCCCTGGAACTGCATCTTGGAGGCACTCCGATATCATGGGGTGCCTACCTACCTCCGTCGTGTGATCGAGGCTTACCTGACGGACAGGTCCGTCAGCTACCCCGGTCACCGGGGCGAGTGGAACCGGCGAGAGATGTCACGCGGTGTTCCACGGGTTCGGTTCTGGGGCCGCTCCTGTGGAACATCGGCTATGACTGGGTGCTGCGCACCGACCTCCCGAACGGCGTTAGCACAATATGCTACGCCGACGACACGCTGGTGCTAGCGCACGGGAGGTCGCACCAGGCGGCGGCCGATTTAATGGCGACAGCGGTTGCGACAGTCGTTGAAAAAATCCGGCAGTTGGGACTCGAGGTGGCGCTCCACAAGTCCAGGCCATGTGTTTTCATGGCCGCGGGAACGCGCCACCTCCGGGTGGGTCCCAAATAATGGCGGGAGGGGTTACCATCGGCGTCGAGACGACGATGAAGTACCTGGGACTCGTCCTCGACAGTCGGTGGAACTTCGTGGAGCACTTCCGACGTTTGGCTCCAAAGTTGGCGAGGGCGGGGGCTGCGTTTAAGCGCATCCTCCCCAACCTCGGGGGCCAAACGCCTCCTGCCGGAGGTTATACGCCGGGGTCGTGCGGTCCATGGCCCTCTACGGCGCCCCTGTTTGGGCGCCGAACTTGTTGCGGCGTCCTGCTCGGACGCTGCTCATGTCACAGAGGGTCATGGCGATCCGAATGATCCGCGGATACCGCACGATCTCTGGGGAGTCGGCGAACCTCCTTGCCGGATTACCGCCGTGGGATCTGGAGGCAAAGGTGCTCGCGCGCGTGCACAGCATGCGCGCGGAGGCACGTCGCCGGGCGAAACTCCGCTGCCGCGCCAGATAAGTGCGTGGCGGGATGAGCTCCGGCGCGATCTCATGGCGGAATGGCGGCAACGGCTGTCGCAACCGAGGGCTGGGCTCGCTGCCATCGCAGCGGTAAGTCCCCTCTTTGAGGAGTGGCTTGAGAGACGCTACGGCGTCCTCACCTACCGCCTGACGCAGGTCCTCACCGGACATGGCAGTTTCGGGAGGTACCTGTGTCTGATGGGGCGGGAGGAAACGCCCGGGTGTCATCACTGCGAGGACCGCCCTGAGGACACGGTGGAACACACGGTGGGAGAATGCCCTTCGTGGGCTGAGCACCGCCGTGTCCTCAGGGAAGTGATCGGCGATGGCGACCTCTCGCGTCCGGGCCTAGTGCAGGCCATGATGCGGAGCGAGGGGGATTGGGATGCCGTCTCCTCCTTTTGCGAAGCAGTCATGCTAGCTAAGGAGGAGGCGGGACGCGTGAGGCAGCGAAGCGCTGCCTCCTCGCAACCCAGCCATCGCGAAGGACACCGGGCGTCGGGGATCGCGGGACGATCTCCGGCCACCGTAAGCGCGGGCCTGCGGACGGCGAGCATGGGTGGCTCCCGTCCGACCAGAAACAGACCCGAGCGTTCGGCGCGTCGCGTTCCGCGCGCGCCTCAAAGAGCCATCAGACCACCACAGATGGGGCCCAATAGGGCCGATGCCGATTCGGAGTCGCGGAGAACCTAACGGGTAACCGGGGCTCCGGCTCGACGTGCAGGAGAAGGAACGGGGTGGTTTTTAGTCAGTAAGAGTCTGACACTCCCTCCCGCCTCACCCAGGCGGGGGCAGTCATTCGATGATTTTCCCCCCTTAAAAAAAAAAAAAAAAAAAAAAAAAAAAAAAGGGTTCCTTAAAATTTAGAAGAAGTTGGTAGAAACTGTAGCCATAGAAAAGCATGTGCGACTGCCGGATAGGGTTTCGGGTTCGATTCAAGGGTCCAGCAAAGAATAATTGGGTTTTAATAAAATGCTCAGTAGTAGCACGGTGTCTGTAAATGTGCCTGGTATATGGCAATAGGCTCACCCCCTATTACATGGGACTCATAACATAAATAGTGAAAAGTGGGTGTTACATTGTATAGTGGCATTAAGTGCCGTAACATGTTCCCTGTATTATAGGTATGATGTTATGTTATGTTAAATATATTTTTAAAATGAACAGCATTTATATTATTTACCAATATTCTGAGTAGTCCGCAACAAACAACTGCAAACAGCATCAGTTTCAGAGACAGCCATGTAGAGCTTTTCACAGACTGAACTAAAGATAGTTATTAACGTTAATCTCTTGATAATAATCAACCCAAGGAGTGTCAGATAATTGGATACACGTAACTGCAAAAACCAAAGCATAAGATATTTTATTGTCAGCCAGTAGTGCCCGACCGAAACTTCGGTTTCGGCTTCGGCTTCGGCCGCCGCACCGGCCCAAACGAATCGCAGTTAGTAAACAAAATTAGTCAAAACAAAGTCCTAAGAAATTATCAATAAGTACCTATTTAATTTTCCTAAAAATTCCAAAAAAATAGATATTGAAAAAGCGTTAAACTTTGCTCAATTATTTTATAGAATTATATTGTGTTCGTCTGATAATTAAAAAAATGTGACTGATTATTTGATTATTTTTGTTAAAATTACTCTAAATATTTAATTAACATTGTATATTTGAAACTTTTATTTGGTCACTCGGCTCGTAATTGAGCTAAATCTCTAAAGCTCTCACAATATGTATCTAGTATATTCTGACATCAGAGTAACTATCGTATTTCTCAAGGTAAACGACACCTTCGGCTTCGGCTTCGGCCAGAATTGGACCTTCGGTTGGACACTATCAGCCAGTTAGATTTTAAAATTCAAACAACGGTAGGCTAAGGACTCACGGCGCGATTTTCTCCCGCGTCCGCCATTTTAACTGGCCCGCAGCCATTGTAGAATACATGTTTACTATGTATGTAAAACATCAAAGAGATTTTTACGGAGCGTTTTACGCTCGAGGCGGGTCGCTGCCGGCGCAATCCCCCAGCCGCGGCGGCTAGCACCCGCACGCTCTGCGATCGGTTGGCAGGCGATCGTAATGGGACGGCCGATCTGGAACTCAACTGATTGTTTAACCGCCTGCCTGTTTTGCGATAATGAACCGCCAAGTTTGCGGGCGATAATCGCAACCGCGGCAGAAAACTGCGGTCTCGTGAGTTTTGATTATCTCTATTCCGCCACCGCGGATGGCGCGGGAGATGATCGCGCCGTGAGTCCTTAAGCTTAACAGGGCAGTCGATTATAGGCATGTTCCTTATAACTTTAATAGAAGTTTTTCGTGATCTAATTATACTTACACAAGCTAAACCACTTTTTTTGATTTATAACCATTAAATGGGGCCTACCATATTTTTGCTCACCAAATGGCACTAATGTAAACCTCTCGTTATTCGTTCATACGGAAATAGCTAGTGTCACTCCATTGGACGTGCAATATGAGACAGCTGCTGTGATTGGACAAAAAAGTATCTTGTAAACACTTGCGCCATCTAGTGAGAATAAAGCGTTAGCCCCGTTGTAAAAAAGCTTTCACTGCTACTGTTTACTAACCTCCACATCATGTTTTTTTTGTTCAATTAACATCTTGACGTATGTTAAAGCGATTAAAAGTACATCAAAGACAATAAATGAAATCTGTAAAATAAGTATCAAATGAGTACATTCATAATAAATTCACTTAGAAGCGGAAAAGAAAGGAACGGAGCCACTAGCGTTGTTTGTTTTTAATTTTTTGATAAACATTGTCTGATAGTATTTTAATAATTGGTAACGTATGTTGTATAGAAGGTAATTTAGTTACTTTTGAAATGATAATTATATTTGATAGGTATATTTTGTTGTTAAACTTGTTAAAGGATCATTTTTTTAAGTTAGGTATAGATAGTTTGATGAAATGAGAAAGACGTCAGTAGCTCCTAGGAGTATGTCTAAAAATATTACGTTTTATTTCGCTTCTGTTTAACCAATTACAAAATCAGTAAGTTGATATGTGCAACGTGTCTTAAAAATCAGCGTCTAGCCGAAAATAGATACCTTATAGTAGGAAAAAAGATTTACTAACCGTGAATTGATACAGCTTCTTGACAGTATCAAACGCATCCATCAAATCCACATACACTTGAAATAACACTCTCAAATCTTTAGGATCTTCTCGAACACCACAAGAAATTCCACAATGGAGCTTGACTTTAGACAGCCACAAAGTAACTCCGTCTTTAATCAGACTGATTATACGGATACCAATAGTCGTATGTATGTCAAAATAAACAATTGTGTATGTCGAAACCATTAAATTGAATTCTAAGACGATGAAGGCGTTCAAAAAGATTACGAAGTACATAATCAGGACGATCCAGTTAACGATTGTAAACCTTTTATAGTACTTAAAGTTAATTTCGTTGAACATATTTTGTATCTTCAAGATCAACTCGACGTTATCCTGCCTCTTGATAAGGTTAATGAAATAAAGGATGATAATGGCGAAGATTAAGATAATCCGGTGAGCATAACGGAGAATTAAGGTCACTATGTTCATTTTTATTAAAGACTTTTCGCGAATGGAACTGATCCATCGATAAATGCTGATCACAAGAATAAAGATGAAGGTTGAAACATAGTAGCGCAAAGTTTGACCTTTGATACGGTGGTGGTGAATAATGAAAGTAGATGCAAGAATAAAGTGTTGCATACAACGGAGAGGCAGCAACATGTTTAGGAATTTTCTGTTGATAATATCCGATTGTCGTCCAGTCTGGGTCATGGTGCAGATAGATTTATATCACTGACAAATAATAGGCTCGAAAAAGAATGATTCAATTCAACCACTTACTTAATAAAAGGCTAATCTAATGAAAGAGCTACATTAATTTGATTAGAAATTGTAATGTAAGATTATTTAAAAATAAATTGAAAATAATTCTGGCCATGAAATGTTATTATAGTATTCATGAATTTTTAAATGAAAATAATTTTAATATGTAATTGTATCTCATATTATTCTTTAAATTAAATTAAATGTATACCTAATTGACTTGACGTTCACTTTGATTGACTGACATTTTCATGAAATTCTTATTTATCTAATCCTAATTTGATTATATTGTAAAATGACTCGTATTAATGTATTTCATTTAATAATACTTTTGCGCGCTGTGTTCCACGGCAAAACATGCTGTACATAAACATTTTATTCAACATCTTGTTACCTACCATGTTTTGTGCAAATAAATGATTTGATTTGATTTGAAGGCCTCCTCTAGTGCTTTCCATTTGTCCCTGTTTTTGGCGATATTCATCCAATGTTTGCCAGCCACTTGGATTATGTCGTCTGTCCACCGCGCGCATGGTCTGCCTCTTTTTCTCGTGCCTACCGGGCCTATCTAAGTATTGTAACTTAATACGAGAAAATAAAAAAGACTTGTCTAATATTTTTCATTATCTAAATAACGGACTAATTAGATTTTTAATTTTGATACCCTGGAAACTACCCAATTTTAAGTAGGTAAGTACTTAATCCTAAAGTTAAAGGTATCTACTTAAAAATATGCCAGAAAGTATAAAAAGACATTCTTTAGATAAATATAATAACTAAGACCGGTAAAACTAAAGTTCCTTTCTTTCTTGTGAAGACAACTTGGTCGCATGTCGATTTGCCCTCCAGCGGTGAGTTTTGTGGTTTAATCATCATAACTGTACAGTCAATATGTAACGTACAAACTTCCCAATGGGTACAAGAGTCCAATGGTAGTTCATAGCAGCGATGGGCGACCTCGATCAAGGGTGTTCTGTAACATAGAAGATTAACGAACAATTTTTTTCGTGAATATTTTTAATCGCTCATAACATGCAAGTACTATTGATTTTGTTATTTAGTAGGTATTTCGTGTGTTTTATGAAAAAAAGTAATCATTGCTATCTATCTTATTTGTCATATCAATCCTACTAATATTATAAATGTGAAAGTTTGTGAGAATGTATGTGTGTATGTGTGTTTGTTTGTTACTGGTTTATGCAAAAACTACTGATTAGATTTACATACAATAATGTAGGTCATACATATGTTATTCTGGGCGTAACATAACACAAAATGAGAGCCAAATCGGGCCTCTGAGACTTATCTGGGCGTACGTCTGCCTAAACCATAGTTACTCTAAGATAATGTACGCACTCTCTGTCTATTAAATTCCTATAATTCCTATTTGATTGAAATGCGGTACAACATTAATTTGCAAACTTAGAATCCCTGCGGGATTGTGTGTTTTTTGAAACAACGAAAATATATTCAATTCACAATAATTATAACCTAGGCACTGAATCAATTCTGACATTTGTTGCCATGGAATGTACCTTGGTAAATACTAATTAAGCATTAAGCAACTATCTCTACAGTAACTAGCCCGTTGAAATCCATCCCCTAAATTTGGTCATACAAAAGTAGTCTCTAAACATTGGAAATAAGGTCTATAATGTAATGTAATATTAGTGGAGAGCGGTCACCGGTGACCGCTTGGGGATCTATGGGCTAGTAGTAGTTTACAAGCATTTTTATTTAACATTGTTGTTGTTTTACCTCTGGGGTCATGGCCTGCCGTCACACGTGGGATCTTTCAAATTTAGCAATGCTGGCGCGAGTAGCTGCTGCCTACTATCCGTTGTGTCCCTGTGCTTATTGACTTGGCTCGGACTGTGAGCACTGCCTTATGTCTGCTGTGTCGTTGTTTTGCTTCATATGGTTAAACTAAAATTACACAACACAATATAGGTAATAGTGTTTCATATTGTCATACTAGAACATACATTAACTCGTCGAGTACCGTATTTATAGACACAATTAAAGAACAATAGGTTGCAGTCACCGGTGACCGCTTGGTGTTTGACAGTTTAAGTACAACATTTATTTCATTAAAAGTATTAATTACTAGGTTTTTAAAAAATCTCAGTAGTAGCACTGAGTCTGGAATTGTCCCCGGTATATGGCAATGCACCTCTGCCTACCCCTCCGGGGGTAAAAGGCGTAATGTTATGTTATATTATACCTTCCACACCCACATTTTTATAACTTATACTTTTATTATGATCATTTTATTACTATTTTATATAAAAACTAAAGTACCTACTTGATTGTTTAGATTGTTAAAACTATAATTATACTTACTATGTTATCGGCATGTTCTTCAATAGTGCCGCACGGTGTGGTGGCTGATCTACGGCGTCCAAGCACTTTTGTGATTGCACTTTCTTTCGTAAATATAATGATCGTCAGTAAGACGCTTTTGGGTGTCGGTTCGATTGTATTATCGGGGCGGGTACGCCTACGCCATTATTTACGATTGACCGCTATGTTTTATCTCATATCTGCTATCACAACGTCGCCGCGTGCGCCGTGGGCTTGCTTAGATGTCAAATGTCAATGTCAATCAAACTGTCAAGCGTCAAACAAAAGCCGTCAAATTAATAAAAATGATACCTATTTTAATAAAAAAACTTTTCAGTGATCGGTAGTGCCAATTTATTACATAACTATTTCTATTTTTTTTATATATATATTTATGTATGATATTTTGGCAACAGGCTAGTGCTGAAATTTAGCGCCGTGACCCGAGCAATCGCGCCGTGACACGGCATTTTAGCTGAACATTGGCCTTTTTGCACCGTGTACATTGTTTTGTTATTTTTTAACTATTTTTCTTGTTTTTTCTGTAATAGTGCAAATAAATTGTTTTTCTTTCTTTCAAATATTTAGTAGTTACTTTATAGTCTCGAATTTACTCAAACACTGAACTAGATAACATTATCAATTGATGTTTAAGATTTTAAGTGTTCTGATATAGTCCAGTTTTATTTGAAACTAGCTTCTGCCAGCGGTTTCGCCCGCGATCCCAGGGGTAAAATGCCTATGTATCACTTCAGACCATAATCTACCTCTGTTCCGAATTTCATTCCGGTCCCTTCAGTCGTTTTAATATGACTGAGTAACAAACATACACATAAACAACCATTGGCCTTTCAGTTACAGCGTAAAGTCTATGAATGAGTATTGTTAACGTTAGAGTAGACAAATACAATCAGAAATCACCGAATTGCTAAGCTATCGGGAGTTTCACGTGTTATTGTGAGTCAACCATAAAAGATAGACATATGCTGTCGAGGAATATTTTTTATATAATTTTAAGGAGAATATTTCCGTCATACATGATTTCTATGCAGCTTTAACCTATAAGCCTGCACACGCGACGGAAGCTTAAAAAATGGAGTAACTTCTCCCGTTTTCCCAATATTTCCCTTCACTGCTCTGCTCCTATTGATTGTAGCGTAATGAAAAGTATACTATAACCTGCCCAAGAGTATGAAGAATAATTGTGCCAAATTTCGTTAAAATCCATCGAGTAGTTTTTGTTTCCATAACGAACATACAGACAGACAGACAGACAGACAAAAATTTTACTGATTGCATTTTTGGCATCAGTAGCGATCCCTAACCACCCCTTGATAGTTATTTTTTAAATATATTTTATGTACAGAATTGACCTCTCTACAGATTTATTATAAGTATAGATAGAAAAAACTAGGAAATTAATGGATTAATCACAAGGTGTTGTTGATACTAATTCTTCACTTCACACAACCTATCTAATGACTTCTCTACTACTAAATAAAATTAATTTATTGTTG